GATGTCAATTGATTTTTAGCTGCATCACCAATTAATCGTTCACCATCGGATGTAAATGCAACATATGATGGTGTGATACGATTACCTTGATCATTAGCTATAATTTCTACACGACCATTCTTGAATATCCCAACACATGAATATGTTGTTCCAAGATCAATACCGATTACAGTTCCAATATCTAATTCAGTAAAACGAACTAAGCTTTTGTTGTGTATACAATAGAAAACCTACCTTTCTTAGCATCTTCAGCAGCAAAAGAAAGTGTAAAAGAAATAGTAACAATGAGAAGTAGAGTAGCGAAGAGCTTCATGTTTTACAAGCGTATGTTTTGCTATTGAATGAAATTGTTTTAGAAAGCGAGACGTATTTATTTGAAATGAAGATTGTTGAAGTAATACATAGGTTTTTTTTTTCTCTGTGGTGATGAATGAATATGCTGTCTAAATTTGATTGGTCCAGCAAAACATTTCGGATGACGTCGATAGTGCGTGTAAGCAATGAAAATATGACGAGCAAAGAATATGTCAGAAATGAAAAAAAATCCAACGAAATGAATGTTATTATTAACCCTTAGAGAAAATAATTATTTTTAGCACAAAAAGCGAAATTATACAGCGAAGAATCAGCAATATACTAGTGACATCTTTTCGAGTGAACTCGAAAATACGAGAACATTCTGAGTAAAATATTCATAAAATGAATTAAAATTATTTTAATTAATTTTTTTAAATAAATTTTCAGGAAGATTCATATATCAGATTTTAATTGTAGAATGGTATGTACTAATGAAAATCGTTGAAGCAATTATGATGTTCTTGAACTCGAAAATATCACGAAATCTTTTATGGAAAACGGATTTTTACGATTTGAATACTTAGAAATAACACTGAGTAACTTGTTAGATTTTATTTTTCTCAGCAGACCACTGTTGATTAAGTAGAATATGTTCAATATTCGTTTTTAGCAGAAGAAATAGAGAGAGGATGCAGTTTATACAACATTGCTGTTGGTATATAGATTAAGAAATTGTATTTTGTTTTTCAGATTATCCATCATGTCTCGTGTAATCATCAAAAACTTGCCAAAACAAGTATGTAAAACTGATGGCGATAACTGTCTTTTTCAAAGTTGTCTCTGTTTCGAAATTTTCTTTACGCAGTATTTTAATTAAATTAGAGTTAAAATATATGTCTTGATATGAGACTTTGCATCTGTTGAATCGTTTTATCGGTATATGAAAATTATGAGTGACGTGAATTCATGTTTAGATGCTTTTTTAAACAAACATCATTTGATTTCTATCGATAATAATCAATACTTAATGCTCAAAGCTAATGCGATGTCAATTTTTAAAATCATTTCAAGTATTGGAACAATTTTATTTTCGAAAATTTGGATTAGTTCTGAAAAATTTTTCGATTTCCGAATCTTTTGTTTTATTCAGTAAACAAACATAGAACTTTGTAGAAACGAAGTAGCTATACGAATTCTTCTTCATGCCGTAGAATCTATGAATTCAAATTTCTATATCCAAAGTATCAATAATAATGCATTTAAAATTCTCAAATGATTTTATCATTTGTTCATCTACTGAAAACTAAGACATGCAAAAAATAGCTTCAATAGTGTTTTTGAATAATTTTTGTTTTTAATTAGTATAAACGAATATCATTATTTTGAAAGTAAATCTCAAAATTATAATATTTATTGTTTCTTTCTTAAAATTAAATTAAAATTTAGTTTAAATCAAATATTTTTCTAGGTAAAAGAAGAACAAATTCGAAAACATTTCGAACCATTCGGATCGATAACTGATCTACAATTAAAATATACCAAAGATGGTATTTTTCGTCGTTTTGCATTTGTTGGATTTATAAATGAAGAACAAGCTCAACGTGCAATTGAAAAATTAAATAAATCTTATATTGGTACATCAAAAATAATTGTTGAACAATGTTTTGATTTAAATGATAATAATCGTCCGAGACCATGGAGTAAATATTCTTCTCAACAAAATCATGAAACAGAAAAAAAATCTCTAGAAACAACTAAAACAAAAACAAAAAAAAACAAAGGCAATAATCAATTAGTTGATGCAATACTTGGTGATCTTAAATATGATGAAAAATTTAAAGAATTTGTTAAAAATGTTGATTCAATGAAAACAAGTGAACAAATCATATGGAATGATTCAATGAAAAATACTGAAGATAATAAAAAGAAATCATCTAAATCAATTGATAATCAACCAATTTCATCTTTTTCGCCGTCTTCCCTGCCGGTCGAAAAAGAAAAATCTAAAAAACCTCGTTATTTAATTAAAATTCATGGTATTCCATATACATCAAAAGAACGTGATATTCGTCAATTTTTTTCTCCAATATCAATTGTTCGTTGTCGTTTAATTCATAATCGTAAAACAAATTCTTTAACAGGAACTTGTTGGATAGAACTTGAAAATGAAAATGATATGAATAAAGCAATGCTTAAACAAAAAACTGTATTAACAATAAAAAAAACTGGTGAAAATCGTTATTTAGAATTAACATCATATATTAAAAATAAAGATTTATTAAATAAATTAACAAATGATAATAATAAAAAACAAAATAAAATTTATCAACCTATTAATGAATCAATTGGTGAAACAGGTGAATTATTTGTAAGAAATCTTTCATATAGAACAACTGAACAAGATTTAGAAAAACTTTTTAATCCATTTGGACAAATAACAAATATTAATATGCCTATTGATAATTTAACAAAACAACCAAAAGGTTTTGCTCATATTACATTTATGTTTCCTGAACATGCATTAAAAGCTTTTAATGAACTTGATGGACATGCTTTTCAAGGTCGTTTATTACATATTTTACCAGGAAAAACACAACAACAACAAGATTCATCAGAATCCAATAAAAACCAAGTATGATTTTATTGTGAAATTAAATCTAATAAGAAATATTGAAGTATAGGAGTAAAAATTGAGATCCTTTCTTTCGACAAACTCGTGGCAAGCTCTAGTAGTGGTAGCCCGATCTGGAGGAGAGGAGAAAGTGTCGGAGATGTGAGTCCTCTCAATAGTTAAGTATTTTTTGCTATTTTTATCAGTTAAAATGGAAAAAAACGAACGTGAAGTAGATGTTTGCTAGCCATTTTTCAAAAAGACACTGGATTAAATAAGCTCTTAGCTAACAAAATATAAAATGAAATCAAAACGTTGTTTTGCTTCACGAAAAAATATCGGCTGTACAATTATAGTTGATTGAAGAATATTTTTTCAACAATTTGTTATGATTTCTATTGCGTCTGAAGAGCTTCGTTTGATCGCCTTCGACGGTAGAAACTTTTAAACAGTAATCGTAGATTATATTTAATGGCGGGTTTACTCTATGGAAAGCAATGACACAGAAGCAGGATTTTTACCAGCTGAGAAAGAATTTTCGCTTCAGTAAATAGTAGTAACTGCATAAACGTAACCAGATGTTAAAGACGTAAAAATTAATTCTAGGAAGTTTTGATTAATTTGGCTTTCTCTAAAGTATAACTTTGATCAATAGTCGCTGGCGTTGAAAGTATCTAGACTCTTTTTTGACTTCTGTACGAAGACGGTTTTCATTCTCAAAGGAAAAAAAAGGGTATAATCGAGTTTTTTATGAGGTTTCCTGTGTTGAAAAATATGGGTCAATTTCTTAATTACATTTAGCTCTAAACATTCGTGTGTTCTTCTTTTTAATGTATGCTACCTCGAAGTGACAATATTAATTGAACTTTACTGTCTATATGGAAAAAACACAGGACAAATAACTAGAGCACTCAAGAAATGTTTTATATCTCCTCACAGCTCGAAGAATCTGACTGCCACTGAGCTCTATTCAAGACCATCACAGACCTTGACAGATGTCAACAGAGACCATGATAGGTATCTTAGCAACACTGTCCCTGCTTCTCAGACCGAACATCTCTTTCTAATATACGAACTCCTTCATTATTGCATCTCTGGAGAATTGAGTAAAATGATGATGATGAAATATGTCCCAAAAATAGATGGAATAAAATAATCTATTCTGTAATTAGAAAGAGTAGTTACATCGTGTTTTACATTTTAATCCCGCAGGTATTACCCTAACAGCTTTTTATTATTAATTAAAAAAAAAAGAGCTTTGTGTAGGGTAAAAAAACCATGAGAGAAAATTAGTTTGATTCAGGTTTTGACAATAATCATTATGTAAATGTCAGTTGTTTGCAATTATGAATATATTTTAATGAATTCTATCCTTTAACTTTAATTAAACTAATGGAATACAAACCTGATGCTTACTGTATACAGTGGAAACCTATTGATTAGATTTATAAATCTTTTGAATAAAGTGTTCATTATTTATTACATATTCCAATTTATGTCGAAGACAACCATAATCTACAAGAATTGTAAACTATCATATTTTTTTCTAATTAATACTGGAAATCAATATTCTAATATATTCAAACAATATAATATTTAAATTACTTCATATATCAGCTTGTCTAGTAAATTTTTATCTTGCTCTTAATGAAAAATAAAAATAATTATCGAGAATAAGTTATTTTCAAGTTTTACTTCTTGATTTAAGGAAAATAAACTATGAAGGGAGAAAAATGAAGTAGATACAGTGACTTATAAAATTATTTTCGTAGAGAAGGTATAAAAATAACACTTCCATATGAAATAACAGAAAAAGAAACATAGTATTTATGCCTTCCATAAAATTAATTTATGTTGATTAAAGAAGGCTGTAAAGAACTGTAAAATATTTCATTTCGTCGAAAGCTACTTGGTCTATCATTCTAGAAAAATTTTAAAAAAAATTCTATTTGAAAATTTCAACGATTGAAAAATTTTGATTTTTGATTTTTCAAATATTCTATCCTTCAAAAACGAATAATTGTGCAAGTCATTGCATGTGATGGTAAATCTTTCATATCCATTATAATCATAGAATAATGACTAATGAACTATCACACACTGTCTGTTTTCATTGTCAAAATATGTAAATAAAGATAAAATCTCGTATATTACATTCTCAATGATTTTAAGAGTAACATTGGAATTTTAAACTTAAACTTGATTAGAATTCTAATAGTACAATCTATAAAATTTCTTTCTTGACTATAAGATCACTTATTATGATCATAATTCTAGACACCAACAGCAATAGCAACATCATCCGAACAAAATTGGAATACATTATTTCTTTCTTCAAATGCCATAACTGAAATTATGGCTGAACGATATGGTCTTGATAAATCATCTATTGCTAATTCAACAAAAAAAAATGATAGTTTAGCTGTACGATTAGCTGTTGGTGAAACACAAATCATACATGAAACTCGACAATTTTTAATTGATAATGGTGTTAAATTAGATTCATTTAGTCAAGCATTATCAACAACAAAACGAAGTAAAAAAATAATATTAGTAAAAAATTTACCAATTAAAACCCATGAACAAGATTTAAGAATTTTATTTGAAAAATATGGTAAATTAGAAAAAATTATTTTACCACCTTATGGACATTGTGCATTAATTGTATTTGAATATCCACAAGAAGCACGACAAGCATTTAAACAATTATCATTTCGAAAATTTAAAGATAATACACCATTATATTTAGAATGGGCACCTGGAAATGTTTTGTCAGAACAAATTAAACAAGAAGAAAAACAAGTAAGTTTAATATTGAATATATATTGACTAGACTAGAAATTATTGCAATTTTTCAAAAGACAGTTCATAAGAAGACGATCAAGGATTCTTCGAATATTAATCAAAATTTTAGTTTTTCGTTTTTTTTTTGATGTTCGATATTAAAGCCAGTCTTGATCCGATTTTCAACACTGCATACCTATCCGTATATATATCAAAAGATAGAGCATCGAAAATTGACAGAATATCTGCTATGATTTTTTTTTAGAGACAAATGAAACCAAGGTCAATTTTTGTTACTTTCAATATGATGGTTAAAAAAAATATTGTAGACAACTTTTACTTTTGAAGCGAAACACCATTCACAATTGTCTATTCGTTAGTCATTTTTTACACTGTTTCAATAAAGAAAAACATATTTTAGACAATTTTTTATTGCTATAACAAGGCTGTAAAGCAAAATAAATTGTAACACTTGTAATGAGCGTGAAAACATACATTGAATCAATTATATTTTAGATGAGTTTTTCTTGTGGAAAACGAACCTCTTGAGTACTTAAGGGTAGTATTTCAATAAAATACAGCCGTGGGGACAACAGGTGATTTTATTGCAGGAAAAAATTCATGTAAAATATAATTGATTCAATATATTTTTTCACGCTCATCACAAGTGTTACAATTTATTTTGCTTTACAGTCGTGTCATGTCAATAAAAAATGTCTGAAATATGTATTTTTTATTGAAAAACACTAAAAAAAATTACTAGATAAGAGACAGTTGTGAACGCCCATTCACTTCAAAGGTAAACGTTATTTTTTATCATTTTGTCGAGGATAACAAATATTGCATAACATATGAAAAATTAACCTTGGTTTCATTTGTTTCTAAAAAAAAATATGACAACAGATGTATTGTCAAACACCGACTGTCATGATTCTGTAAATTGTTATCTTTATCACTCATGTTGGATTATATAATCTTAATAAATAGATGATATATATCAATTCAAATAGTTCACTCTGATCAAATTTTCATGCTCTATCTTTTGGTATATTGTATGAAAAACTCTTTTACTTTTTGAAGTATGATCCCAGTAGATAGTAATAGGACAGTTGATCAAGGCTAACTTTACTATAGAACAGAAAAATTTGGGTATAGTGTTTTCATAGGATGACCTTTTGAATCTATATGAAAAATTTAAACTTTGATTTATCACCCCATATGCTCAGGCGATCTTTAATCCTCTTTTCATGGACTGACTCTCTCTTTAAAATGCTAATTAAATTGTTGATCTAACTATCATATGAATTGCAGTATCATTAATGGTATGGAATATCTATATATCAGAAGAGATTGCAAGAGTTTTTTATGAGCATGAAAGTATCATGTATTTTAAATTTGATACATATTTTTCTTTGATAGAAATATAATGATTCGATTTCATGATACAAAATAAAAATAATATCTTTCAAAGTCCAAATATTATCAGTATGGGTAATACAGGTTTTAGACTAGGAAGCCGATGATTAATGAGTCTGGCAGAAGAAATTAATCAAAAGCAGAATACATAGAAGATATAGAAAAAAAACTGATGTTTGTTTTTATGGATGTATTTGTCTCATCCTTGTATTATTTGTTGTTGATAGGAATAGTCAATTAACTAAATCGTCAAGAACATTGTTATTTTTAATGAAATACACATTCCTGATTAGGATCTGATTCTTTTATGAAATGATACCGACAAGACATTACATATATACATCTAGTCATGAATGTGTAATACACTTTGAATTAATCAACATCTGTCAAAATCATTCAAGTTGTTCTTCTAAAAATGTTGTTTATAAGTTGGTATAAGCTCTTTGAGATCCGATTAGGCTTCTGTTTCTTTTTTTTTGCGTTAGCAAATCATTTCCAACTATACTGCTGTTTGATGACAAAATAGAAAATAATTTCATAGCAATCTTCTTGAAATTTGATAAGATAATTTAAAATCAGAACAACAAAGTCAACATTGAAAAAGAAATCTCTATAAATAAACATTTCTTTTCAATATACAATAACATAAATGTATTTATTTCTCAATCTTGGATAAGACAACATTGTCTTCTCATATTTAGAATGTTGCCTATAAGCCAAAGCTCTGAAAGAAGAGAAGAAAAAAATCGAGATAATCGAATGAACAACATTAGTTTTTCTTTTGTGCTTAGACTGAATCACTCGTCGAAGAAAAAGAAATAGATAAACAAGAAGAAGCAACAATTGAAGAAGAAACATGTACATTATTTGTAAAAAATCTTAATTTTGATACAACTGATGAAGATTTAGAAAAGGTAAAAATGAAAAGAATCATGTTGTCTGTTTTTTTTTAATGCTTCAATTGATGTCTTCTTATTTTTCTACAACAGCATTTTTCTTCTATTGGTCCATGTCGAGCTTATGTAGCAAAAAAAAAAGATCCAAAACATTCAGGTCAATTATTATCAATGGGCTATGGTTTTATTGAATTTTCATCAATGAAATTACTTAATGAAGCTCTTAAACAATTACAACATTCACAACTTCAAGATCATCAATTAGAACTTAAACGATCAGAACGTACAATGAAATCAAAGTAAGCGAAAATTAAAGAGAAAATTATTTTTTCTTGAAATAAAACAAAGAAAAACTTCTTTTTTTTTTGTTTTTCATTGTATTTAGTCAACAAATAAAATCTAATAAACGTAAACGTCAATTAGAAAAAGAACAACATACAAGTAAAATTTTAGTTAAAAATATTCCATTTCAAGCTAATATAAAAGAAATACGTGAATTATTTCGTGTATTTGGTGAATTGAAATTTGTTCGTATGCCAAAAAAAATCGATGATGAACATCATCGTGGATTTGGTTTTGTTGATTTTGTTAGTAAAAATGATGCAAAAGTATGAGCAAAAAAAAAAAAAGAAAAGAATAATTTGATTTATTATAAATGAAGAAATAAATTTAATTTAGAATGCATTTGAAGCATTATGTCATAGTACACATTTGTATGGACGACGTCTTGTACTTGAGTGGGCTGATGAAGAAAATGATACAATTGAAGGATTACGAAAGAAAACTGCAACAGAATTTGGTAAATTTAACTTGAAAAAAAGAACGAAGAATATTCTTTTTTTTTCTTATTCTAGATCTTAGTTCAAGTAGTAAACGCTTAAAACGAACAGAATTACTTGGTGAACTACGTAAAATGGGTGGAAATGATCAAATATCCGAAAAGAAAACTACTGAAGAAGATGAATAAAGAAAAAAAAATAAACGAATAAATAAATATATAAATAAAAAAGAAACGATTGTTATTCTTCTTGTTATTTGTTTTTCTTTTCATTGTTTTGTTATTGATTATTTGTTTTGTTGTTGACATATTCATATTTAGATAACAATCATGATCAACAAAAAATCTCTTCATCGACAATTGAAGAATAGAAAATTTTGCAACTACTTGTGCATGATTAAGTTTCGATGGTGTAATACAAACCATGATAACTTAAAGGTTATTATTGTTCCACTAGTATTATTATTTGTAATTATATTTTTTTCACACATTGAGGAACAAAAGATAGAGAGAGAGAGACGGAGAGACCGGCAGTGAGAGAAAAAGAGACTTGTGCTTCATTTTGGCCTAACGTACAGAATGTCAGAAAGGCAGTTAGGGGCTTTTTTTTGCCGAGACCGTTGCCGGTCTATGGCATTTATGTTTCTTCTAGAAAGACTGAAATGGTAGGCACAGAGGGAGAGAAAGTCAGACTGTCATTACAGAGAAAGAAAAGAAATTTTCTCTCTCGATCTAAGAGCGTCAGACGAACGTCAGAAAATATAAGAAGAAAAGGAAAGAACATATTAACATACAAGTTCTCTCTACGACCTTGTAACAGAAAAAGGGGCCATGGACATATAGGCATCCAATCTTCTTTGATAGCATTTTTATAGTCACTGATATTCTTTAATCATTTTTTTTCGGAAATTTTAGGATATTGTTCAGTATGGGTACTGGAAAAACGATTGTATTGGTTGATGGTGAAGCACCACCACGATTTATACCATCTACACGTTTTACATTAGCTTTATTGGTTTGTTTTGCTTTTATCATACAATATTCTCAACGTGTGAATTTTCCAAGTGTAATTGTATGCATGGTTAATCGTACAAAATCAAGTGATAATTTAACACATATAACAAGTACGATAAGTACCAATATTGGAAATGATCCAAATAAAAATTTTATTGATGTACCAACAACAATAAAACCAATCTTAACAACTATACAAAAAAGAGGATTTCTTAAAGAAAAACAGTTCAATTGGATTGAGCTACAACAACAAATCCTTTTAGGAGGCTATTGGGCGGGATATATTTTTACACAAGTGCCGGGTAAGTATTTTGATTTATTTACATATGATTTACAATAGATCATTGGATACATTATTATAGGCGGATGGTTCGCAACAAGTATAGGAGCAAAATGGGTTTATGCTTGTTCACTTAGTACAAGTTCTGTTGCTACTCTTGCTTTAACAATAATGTATTTCATGTCGAGTACACACTTTATTCTAATGTTTATTCTTCGTTTTCTTATTGGTCTTGCACATGGTGTACTTTTTCCAGCAACAATAGCACTTTGGTCAGTTTGGGCTGTTGCAAAAGAACGAAGTACACTTGTATCAATTGGTTTTTGTGGTACACAATTTGGAACATCGTTAACAATGCTTTTTGGTGGTCTTTCATGTGGTTATTTATATTCAGGCTGGATGTATATATATTTGTTAACAAGTATTCTTGGTTTTGTCTGGTTTGCACTATGGGTAACATTTACAGCTAATTCACCAAGTGAACATCAAACAATAAGTAGTCATGAACGAGATTATATTTGTAATTTAACTGGACATACAGGTAAAAAACGTGCAATATCATTAGCGTCCGTACCATGGAAAAATATAGTTACATCAAAACCATTAATTGCACTAATTATTACTCATATGTCAAATTTATTTGGTTTATTTTTCTTTTTAACAAATCTTGCTAAAATTTTACGAGAACTTCATGGTGTACCAGCACAATATGCTGGCTTTATATTATCATGTGGATTTTTTCTTACATTTTTAACTAGTTTAACATCAGGTATAAAAATTAAAAATAAAATCTTTTGTTTTTCGTAATTTATAATATTATTTTAAGGTATACTCGTTGATAAACTTGTTCGATCTAAAGTTATGACATTAACTAATGCAAGAAAATTATTCAATTCCATAACATCATTTGTACCTGTTCTATGTATGATATCACTTTGTTTTTGTGATGAATCAAGACGAGTATTAGGCGTTATTACAATACTTGTCTTTCTTGCTGCTTCTGGTAAGTCTAATAAAAACTTGATTTGTTTAGCAAAGAAGTTAATAAAAGAAAAAAAAACGTGAATAAAACTATACTCTGTTGAGTATGCTTGATTGATCTATGCATTTGCGTATTAAGAATTTGTCATTTGCTATTATGTTTATAACGTCCTTGAGAGAATAACAGAACGAGAGGGATGTATAGAAACGCAATTTTTCCGATAAATGATTGACGCAACATTCAAAGTTCATTGAATATTAATAGAAATGCCTAGAGATGAAGTTTGAGATTAAATCAGGGAGAAAAAAGTGTTTCGATGGATCAATTGATACAAATTGCGTGCATTTATAGTAATAATATGAATTACAAAGTAGTAAAAACATCAACCTATTGAAGTATGCATAAGAAAAAGAACAAAATGTGTCTATAATGGAGTTCAAAGTGCATGTAAAATAGATTATAAATATATATTTATATATGATGAAATTTTTATAATTGAAGGTCTTGGTTATGGAAGTGGTTATTCTGTAAATTTTGCTGATATTGTTCCAGCATATTCAGGTGTTATTTTTGGTATTGCAAATACATTTGCATCATTAGCTGGTTTTATTGGAAATCTTGTTGCTGGTATTGTTGTTAAAGAACCAGTATTAGAACAATGGAGATATTTATTTATTATGTTTGGTATTGTTTATTTTATTGGTGGTTTGGTATTTTTATTATTTGGTTCAGGTGTACCACGTAAATGGGCTCAATTTCAACCAAATACAGCTAAAGAAGAAGTGAAACTTAATGATGAAGAAATGGTACCAATGAACCAAAATGATCAAGTTAAAGCTTAATAGCAAAGAATCAATGAATCTTTGTACTTTTTAGTTTATTAGTCTTGTTTTTGCTTCCGTCCAGTATGGTCGGTTAAAATCATCATGAGAATAGATTTCCTCGTTTTACTTTTTCCTCAATAGTATTTATATTGTTAATCTCAATATCAATTTTTTGACTTAGAATACTATTTCAAAAATTTCATGGTTTTATTTTTTTGTTTATTCTAATTGTTCAATATAATTAGATGTTATATTTAATTTTTTGTTTTCGTCGTATGTAGGATGAAATTTAGGTGTTTATTTCTTTCCTCTTATTCTTTAATCAATACCTACTAAACACATACAAAATAAAATATTGAAAATTTTTTACTTAATTCTTTTATTTATAATAATTTCTTATTTGTCAATGCTAGATTTGAAGTTAAGTATCAGTGTTGGTAATAGTCATTGGCCGATAGTAAATGCTGAGTCGCTAGTCTCATATTAGACATGTTATCTAACTATAATTAAATATTGCAATTTTGTTTGCACTAAAGATCTAGCCAATACAAATATTTGATCGATCAGTTCCATCATTCCCGCTGTGAGCATTAAAACAATTCAATTATCTTTAAGTCTGTTTGTTTGCTACTCTATAATCAAGTAAATTACGGGTTTAACTAGACACTAGTCAATAAAACATTCATATACTGAGTTTGCCAACATGCTTTTTTTAAAGTTTTTTAATACAAATTTCCGATAGAATTAATGAATATTCTTGACAGATGATAAAGGAAATTTTAGACATGTGCAAACCGGATATTCGAGTTCCTGAATAATATTATACCTGTTTTATTAATGATTATGAGCACGATAATTTATAATAATAGACGTTTAGTTTCTTTCTGATTTTTTTTCCTCCATAGATTGCGTGATGAATACTAAAGTTGTTTGTTTTCGATATAATTAGTAGAACTTATAATAATGTAATACTTCTTATAATTCCTTTATCATTTATATTTTACTCATTATTATAGTAAAATGATCTTTTTTTCTGTATGTATTAAGTGTAATACCGAGTATGTTGAGATCAGTTAATTTTGTGTTTTGTTATACATAGCATTTATTTGAAAATATTATTTTCCTTTTAGATGAATTCAATATATAATTTTTTCTATCGTCAATGTCTTTGTTTAACAACTCGACATTTTTTAATCAAGAGTCGAACATATAAATCAAATTTATCTTATGATAAATTATTCCCTAATTGTAAATCGCTTGATATTCTCTCGGGACCTATCAAATCGGTAAATTCCTTTTATGAAAAAAAAAAGCAATATATTTATACTTATTTCATGATCTTAGCCTACAAATGAATCAACAGGAAATGCAAAATTCAATGGATTTATTCCTATAGGTATGATTAGATAATTATTATTTTTCTTATATGAATAAACAATTAATTGTTTAGATAAACTCGAAATCACACATCGACATGCACGAGGTCCAGGTGGTCAACATGTAAATAAAAGTAAAAAATTGTCATGTTACTTTTGATAATAATTATGAGATCTTAATTAGCATTAAGTGGTGTAGAAATTCGATTTCATGTTGATTCAGCAACATGGATACCAGATTGGATAAAATCACGTTTTCGTGATATGGTTTGTTTTATATAAATTATTATTTAAAAAAGAAATATATTTGGTTGTTGTTTTTAAGAATCAAACACGTATTAATCGTGATGGTTATTTTATAATATTTTCTGATGAAACTCGACATCGTTTATTAAATCAAGCTCAATGTTTAGATCGTATTCGAGCATTAATTCGTGATGCAAGTCTTGTTCCAAAAGGATTAAGTGATGAAGAAAGAAAAACTATTGAAGAACGGTAAAATTCAATTTTTTTTTTCTAATAAATTGTTGAATTTAATTTCATTTTTTTATATATCATAGAAAAAAAGTATCATCGAATGAACGTGTTATTCGTAAACGAATACAATCATTAAATAAACAAGAACGTAGACCTTCATCCACAGACTTGAGTTAATCTATGAACTTTGTTTTTTGTTTTTATAGATTTGTTATAATATAAAAACAAATATTCATTTAGATGAATCGTACAATTTGATTGAGAAAAGGAAAAAAGATTTTGTCTTTAAAGATACTGCACTTTTATATACACAAAGTAAACACATGTTATTAAGATTTTCAGCTTTTTAGAGGTCCTTTCATGTTCAGTTTTGATAAAACTCACCTGAATTCGTTGTTTTTCTTATAAAAGAATACAATGACATTCAAAATCATCTACCGATAAATAACTTTTTTTTTATGCTGCTGTTTTTATATCTCAACAGCTAGATGAATCGCAATAGTCTAGTCTATTTTATGTATTGTATACAATTGTTTCTAATATATATATATATATTTGCAGATAATGTCAGATCAATTCATTGCTACGTTGAGATTCTATTGATAGAATAATCTCAGCATGAACTTTTTCATCTTTTCATAGTATCCAACTACTTATGTTTGACAACTGTTACGTAGTTATTTTACAAGAACATTTTCATCATCGCACATTATTCGAAGAAACCTTTTGTGCGCTACATGATGGATACTTTTTATTATAGATTCCCGCTGAGTACAAGTTCGAAAAAGTATTTTTTTTTTTCATTTCGAGAACATTTGATCGATTTTAGTATTTCATAAAACTTTAGAAAAAGAATAAAACAAAATTGCATGATATATAGAGAAGTCTATCAAATGATAAATTGCTTTTAAGTGGAGAGTATGTGTATTGGGTAAATCTAAATGAGCTATGAATACCTTGAGAAGAGTTCAGGTTCTTAGCTTATTGCCACGGAAATAATGTAATTTGATTTTCGAATTTCGACTTGAAACTTTGCATAGAGACAAGCATCAACGAGCATAATTTTATATGTGAATGTTTCATCAGATCTTGTCTCTGCTCTTATTTCAAGATACAATTACGATAATATTATGTATTTTAAATTGCTCAAATAAACAGATAGATTTGATGTTCTAATTTCAAGACAGAAGCAAATCCTGGTAAACTTTATCTCTATTCAAAGTTTCAAGTCAAAATTCGAAAAATCAGTTTTTTTCTTTAATATGTCATTCATTCAAACATATCGTAAAAGTGCAATATCTCTGCAGTAATTAGCTAAAGACACGAACTCTTTTCAGGCTATTTATGGCTCATTTATATCTACATAATGGATATAGTCTTGACTAAAAAGCAATTTGTCTGTTAGAGGATTGCCCTCATTACTTTGTCAAAGAAGCTGAAAAAAGGAATGTTTATCAAACAATGTAGATTTGTAGAGCATATTTTTCTCAATAAAAAATTCATATCAAATTAGAACTCGTTATTATATTTCACACAGTAAAGACATTCAGAATAAAAATAATTCGTTTTGGAATCCATATTTACGTTCTGTCGATTGATATGTGACACGTAAACAATTGTTGTATACGTGATGAAGTCAAACATCGAATTGTTATTATGACCATGATAAGTTCTATAAAGTCAATGTAAAAGACGAAACGAAAGCATGAAATTAAGTTGGATACATTTTAAATTTGATTTCAAATTTTTATAGAGAAAAAATATTCTCTACAAATCTATACTGTTAAAAATCATTCATTTTTCAGCTCGTTTGAAACAATAAAAAAAACCATACGAAAACTTTTTTGTATGATTCATATATGAGCAAAAATTGACTAACAAAATTTTCAATATTGAAATATAACAATTTGTCACGTAGTTTTGTGTTTTTTTTTCTAAGATTTTATGAAATAGTGAAATTGACCCAATGCCCTAGAAATAAAAAATACTTTCGTTTTAAACTTGTACTCAGCGGTAACTCAAACTAAAAATTATTCATCATCTATAGTACAAAGAACTTCTTTCATGGATGTAAATTTTCTTATTAAATAACTGCATAGTGGTTGAAAAGCATAAGTATTTCGATACTTTGAAGAGATGTCATGCTGAGATTGTTTTATCAATAGGATCTCAGCATAGTGATGAATTAATGTGACATTATCAGCGTATTTGTATATATGTTAGAAACAATTATGTACGATATATATAATGTAGACTAGACTATTGGAATACATCCAATTATTGATATATAAAGAAAGCAAAAAAAAGAATTATTGGTTCGATAATTTTCAAAGCCATTGTATTTGTTAGACATATTGTAGATAAAAACTAGTCTTTCTTGTTCTCCGATTGAATAGTGTTAGTGTTCATAGCAGAATAATTGATTTTCAACATAAAATACATGGTTCTTTGTTTTTTTCGAAATTTCTAAATTGAATTTTCTTGGCAATGAAATGTAATTATTTAGTTTAAAGGTTGAAAAGATTTTATCTATATCACAAGGGTAAAAAAAAAGATTGATTATTTGTTTGATATGAAAAAAATTATTATAGAGTGACATGTCCTTTTTTTTAGTAATGAATTTTGCACTATTGTTCTTTATAGATTATAATTTCTTGTAATTTCCATTTATCTTAGATTCTTTTCGATCGATCAATTATTTATTTTGCCAGATTTTGCCTCTTAGCTAGAATCAACAAAATAAAAAATATTATCTTAACATGTGATAGATTGCAATATGAGTGCACGAGATTTTCATTAATATTATTTCTGTTTAAAAGTGAAGAAAACTATTCACAATATACTGTTGTCCAGCTTTGAGATGCATTCCTCTCATATCTCGATCTCGTCAAAGCTACCAAATATTTTTCTGGCTCCATAGATCAAATTGAGTCTTCAAAAGATACTTGTAGATGGTGAAAAATTTCTACCAATCAAATCATCAATCGTTTAAATAGTTAGATAGATCATAGATTTTTGCTCAATGGTTTACATATCAAGACACTTTCCGTTACAGTTATGAATTATCACTAATGTATGCTTGTTGAGGATTGCTCAATTGATGGAATGTCGCCTCAAGCCTCTCTTGAGTTTTGTAAGAGAATCAGTTATTATTGTAGTATGGTTGATCTGATAGTGTTCATGATCAACATGAATATCTATATCTTTAACTTTAGGTATTACCTCGTACTCGGTATTTTTGTGAAACTCGCATATATTTTCGAAGAAAATATAATGAGTAGAAGTTTACATCGCAATTTTTACGACTCTCTCCCTTCTCATTACAAACTCAGTAACTGGGATTAAAAGTATTGAACGATATTAACAACAAAACTTAGAAGATTCTAGAATATTTCGAACCTTTTCTTGAAATTTGAATGACTGGAATACATTTATCAATATTCTAAATAACACAATTTCTGATTTTTGCGTAGATAGGCATCAAAAATGATACTTTGATATCCCACAAATGTCATACGACCGATACAAAATCATGGCCGGATCAAGTTCTAAATGTCGGTAATAATCAATTATAGTCTTATTGAGTCTATCTGGATAAAAATAGATCGTTAAAATCTGTTCGAGATATAACAAATGTATACAACAGGCTTATCCATCCATCAAATAAATATTTTAGACTAATAATAATAAACTATGAACATTTAATTAAAAAAGATAGGAAAAGAAAACTTCTGTTTGAAATGTAGCAATAAAAAAGAAATGGTTGCTGACAAACGATTACCATTGAAAAACAACTATGGTCTTTTACAGATTTCACATATTGCGTGTTTTGTATTAGTATAATGAAACTAAAAAAGACATGTAAGTTCCACATTTCACTCCCAAAGGGACAGCATTAATAAGCTTTCTTTGTTTATTATGTTGAAATGTTTGCAGAATTTGTGGTATCTATTGTAAATGAGTAGAACAATCCTTTAAGTATTGTTAATTATATTAGTTCTTTGTTTGTTCTCTTTCATCATCCTCTTTTCTTACTTCAAAGTGTTTTCCTTCCGTTAGTATTCTTTATCTTTGTTTAATCATTCTTTAACCATTCATCTTCATCTTTTTGTTGTGCTTCCTTTAGCATGGTACCTTCACATCTTTCATTGTTCTGTTTTATTGAAAGAGGAACATCTTCATCATTCTCTTAGATTATATATTGATTAGCTTTTGAGCTTCTTTTTATACAAAGAATGAATTAGAAAGATAAATGTTCTCGTTGGTTTGTATTAAATACTCGTATTAGAAGTAATTAACGCTATTGTTCATGCGTTAAAACCCTTTTTATGTGCTCAGCCAATATCTTCTCTTAGTAAATCTTTCTTGTTTATTTCAGGCTTTGTTAACAGGAAAAGTCGTTTCAGTTCCTTTTCAAAACTATTTCATTTTTCTAATATGCCTCGAACAAGAAGATTAACAAACAAAAGTAAAGAATGAAATATGAAAAGTAATAATAAGAAGAGAGACAACTATGGAAAAGAAGCATATATATTAGAAGACAAGAAAAAACAAACGATCAAAGAATATTATTTTCCGATCTTTCAGTACTGCATCTAATAAACAGATGATATGTATATACACAAGCTTTTGTACTAGACATCTATTTAACTTAATTATTTGTCTTTCTTTTCTTTTTCGGAAAGGAAAGTCAAAATGTCACCCTTACCCATACAATAAAGAACACTTCGTCAACTACTGGAGAAAGGTCAGCGTTGATATAATTGCTTGCGATATGTCGGTAAATATAGAAATATGACGATAATCGATGCCTGTTACAGTGATTGTCATTAGATAAACTTTAAAATCCTATAACGAATAAAGCTTAGTAATCTTATTTATCATTGCTAAGTGAAATACACTCAAATGCTTCTCTGTGATTCTTTGTTGTGGATGAAATACGATTCAATTTTTTTTTTGATTAATTGATTCTTCAATTGAGAGATTTTTATTGAGATTCATTCAGTGATATGAAATGCACACTTCAAAAACATCTGTGTGACATACTACGTGATAATCAATATGATTCTGATTATTAAGTTATTCAGACTGAGTATACATTTTTTGCAATTTCTCCGTATGTCACGTTTCTTCTTAAATAAGTAAGAAGATTCTTTTCTATTGTATTTCAGATAGTTAGTATGAGATTCATTCAAGCTCTAATTTTTATTTTATTCGTACAATCATACAGAATAGTTCTTAATTCTGTTATTCAAAAATGTATCATTCATAAATACTCGATGCATTCCTATTCAATAACTAATTTGTTTTTCTTGCAATGAATTTTGCATTGTATTTTATCACGTATATTAATAATTAGTTTGCATGTTCTTTTCTTTCACATGTATACTATGAATATAAATTATGCATGTTAATTCTATATACAAATCTTATTTATAAAATAAAATATTTCATATTAATCGACAGTATATGTATAACTATGCTTTAACGCAAATAGAAGTAAATAAACCAAGCCCTGCAGTTTAAATAAGAAAATATATCGTGAAAATACGATTCGAATACTGTTTTACGACTGAAATGGGTCCAAAGAGTATGAATATCTTACGATTAAAACGGCTATTATGTTTTGACTGTATAACACACTCGAAATGATTATTTAGAATTATATGGTTTTATTATTCAAGTAATTGGTGTCTCAAAAGAATTGTGTCCTTCTATATTTTCATGATAGCTTTTTGTTGATATATATATATCTATTCGGACCTTATTTTTTCTTAAAAGACTTATCGTTGAATTCTCTACAAAGCAGTGTATCTTTTATTAATACATAGTTTCCCAAGACACTTGTCAAACAAACAGTTAAAAGTAAATATTTGTGCAAAAGAATTTTGTATCAAATTATTTCGGTAACATCACACAGTTTTTTTTGTATAACAGCTTCTTTACTTTTTTCCTATTTGAAGACATCTACAAATTTATCACGGATTGCAGAATCCGACGTATTTGAATCTCGACTATTCGATGGATAATGGTTCCTTATAAGGACAGAGGAATAGTGGCCTTGGCACAACTGTTGGACTCGTTGACAGTTGCGAAACGTCGCCTTCTGTCTGCTGAAATATTCGATCTGACATCAGTGATACTTTCCGACCAAATAGCATTAAATCAAAACATAGAAATGAAGTCTTCAGAACAGATCGAACATTTTAGCAGGCACAAGTGTGAGACTTCACATCTATCAACTCACACAACATTTGTGCCAAGATAACTTTCTATGTGTATATTTCTACGAATAGGAAAGCGTAAAAAAGCTATCATATAAAAACTTTATGATATATTTAAAAAAATTCGATGAAAACTTTTTTCCAAAATGTTTCCCCTTTGATTGCTTCTTTGACGAGTATCTTGGAAAATTACTTATTAATAAGGCACATAATGTCTCGTAGAGAATTAAAAGATGAATCTTTACAAAAAAAAAACGTAAAGCCTGTAAAATAGATATTAAAAAACGATGCAATTAAAATACAGAAAAGCTTATTTGTTCTAGAATATCCATTATTATTTAGCTTTTAATCATATTCTACAAATAGACATTACACATTGACGAATACAATAAAATACAATACAAGGACTTCTAAGTTTTATTGAAAACAGATATTAATTCAAAAAGAGTTTTAGTATTTGCATGATACTTGGTTAATTGCACCTGTATAATGAGACCATTGTCTAAATTCCATTTTTCGCTCTTGTTTTTATTGAATTGTTTTATAATTTTAATGAACTCTTTGTATAATAGTAGAAAGTTATTATTTATAATTGAAAAGAAGCAAAATTCAATATCGCCTTATGGTAAATACTAAAAAACAGTATTTTAATATGACTAGAAAACAGAGCACCTGTTATAGGCCGTTACATCCAAATGTTTTGAGCCCGGACCAATTTAACAGAAAAAGTTCAGATCCCGGACTCGATGAGCTCTAGTACGTGTTATTCAGAGTGAATATTTTGTAATAATTGAAAGTTAAACAACTGATAAATTTCGATAAAAAAACAGTGTTTTACTTTGCTCACATTTAATTAATTCACTTATTCAGTCCATAAATCAACAAACAGTAGAAAAATAGCGTATTTGTTTCTTTGGATAAGAATTATTAAAACGTTATAGAATGCTTGATTACTGTTTTTAATTCATAGCATATGAAGATAAAAAGCTTTTCTGCTGAAAAAATAAGATGAAGTTACAAAGCAATAACACTATATGCTGTAGCGTTCTGACAAACTGCGTGAAGAACGTCCTTTTTTTGATCAACTTTTCGCTGGGACCCGAAAAGACGCTGTAATACGTTAATTAATGTAAACTCTATGCAGTAAAATAGCTTTTTCTATAAATGTGACTCTTGTTAAATGAAAATTCAAATACATATTAACATGTATTCGTTTTTATTATATAGATATGAAAGATAAAAAAAAATGATACAATTAAAGTTCCAATTTAATGCTTTTGTAAAACTCACTGTTAACAAAAAAGTCATTCAGACTTGATATTGTCATCACACTTTCTAATGATGTTCGTCGGTACCATAAATTGTGTAGAATTTGAAATTCTTGTATTTGACGTTGTTTATCAGCTAAACAACAACTGCAGCAAAATAGGCGATAAATCCATGATTGTTGAAATTCTTTTAAATAAGATTTGTTAGGCAATACATAAATTAAAAATGTAAATATATGTGGAATGTAAAGTATTAATAAAAATCCAATACGAAGGCGTATATAAAATCTATTTGAATATATTATGCAAGAATCGAATAAATATTGAAATAAAGCAGATATACATAAACACAGAATCATAACAAACGATGGAAAAAGATTATCGATACAGATATGTAGTTTTCGATACCATTTTTGTTTTTGTTGCTTTATTTTTGAGAAAATAAATATCATACATATTAAGTGAATCATACATGGAATAAATATATAAAAATAAAATGTAGAATTATTCATGTAAAACCAAAATTGTTGTAAAGGATATTCATAAGCACAAAATAAAAGACTTGATTGATCTCGTTTTAAATGTCGAGCAAATATTTTATCCAGATTTAATATTAAAACAAGAATAAAAAGACCACATAAAACGAATAAAGTACATTTACGAGAACGAAATCGATCAATACTAAAGTATCGATTTAATACACTTTCAATAGCGATAACTGCAGTTATTAGAATACTTATATTAATGATAACAAGAAATAAATATGGATAACCATGACAAGCCCATAAATGAACTAAATAATTATCATATTCAATAGCAATGATTATATTTGTTAGAAATAATATCATCATTATGATACCACATATAGAAAATATAATTAAATAAACTCCAATTACTGTATATCGAATACGATCACGAATGAATGTTAGTAAAGAGAAAATATTACTGATTAAACCAATAGAAGCTAGGAAAATAAATAAAAAAAGATAAAAATAATGTAACGACGGAATATCATGAAGAATAGCTTCAACCATTGGCAAGGTAAGTGCATGGTTTCGAATCTCGTAGTGTTTATCAGTAAAATATGCATTGGTACAAACACAGACACCTGAATAACATCGACCACTGTTTATACAATTGCTATCGTTCAAACACAGCTTCATTTGACGCTCGTTTTCTGAAGAAAATAAGAGTGCTGTAAAGAATGATTTTACAGACGAAATATATCTTTAATTGTATATATTTTCATGATAAATAAATATGTGATTTGCATTATTCTTGATTATAGATACATATACAAAAAAAACATACTTTCACACAATTTCTGATTCATTAACTACAATACTAATCAGGTGTATTTAGAATATCACGTTTGAATGATTAGCAGTATAAATTAAATTCAATGCAAAAAAATTGTGTAAATTTTTCGTTTTCTGCATCGACGACAGGAAGGAATCAGATCAAAATGAAGTTATTGTCGAAAATCGAAGAAAGGTGTTCTTCAACGCATTAGCGTTTCAAGACAGTCAAAATTGGATAGATGTGATAGTTATTGTATTGGGTATCTATTTTCCTAAAACAGATGTTCATCCGTTCGGAAGAGAAAATCTAGATAGAATACTGATTTCATTTGAGACAATGCATGCCCACACATGGATATTTATACGAACGATGACCAGAGTCAGAATATACTAAAGAAGAGAAGACTCAAATGAACATAACAAGAAGATTACAATAGAAATTCATATTAAATGTCATCATTCGTTGAAGATTTAAGAAAATATCATACAAGTAATAGATTTAATTACGCCAAAAAAGAAGTTGAATAAAAGTTGTAGGATACATGTGAAACAATGGATTTATAGTTTGTAGAATGATCTATAACATCGGAGTATCATAAGATACTAGTGAAGTAGCTGCCCGGAGTCAGAGAAAGATAAACCTTCCATTCCTAGTGGAAATTTTTGATTTAAGTGAGTTAAGAAACAAGAATGAATGGTTGTAAATTCTGTTGCCTGAAAAACTTTACAACGGTAGCAGTATATATAAATCTTTACAAATTGAAGAATACTGATTAGAAAATTTCTTCAAAAAATGGAGAAAGCTGAAGCAAACTTTCTAAAACAGAAAAAGGTATCTTCCTTTCCCGATTGCGCCATCTATCATTTTCTGTTACAATAACATCAAAAAAGAGACGAGCATATATTTTACCAAACTCCGATCTTTTTTAGTATTACAATCAAATATAGACTTTTCTTAGTACTAGAAAAAGTATAGAGTTATCAAAGAAATTTTTTATTTTTGAATAATAAAAAATCCGAATAAAAACGTGTGCTTAAAACCAACTATAAGTAAAAAAAACGTTTGAAACAAATGGTTTACAATCTCATTGATTCACTCATTGTATTAGTTAATTCATGATGATAATGATTATGTTCATCATGAGTTGATGCATTATGCAAACAACGATCAAAGTTTGCATCATTTACTTGATTCATTGCTATTGAAGATTTATATCGATAAAATGAAAGATCTTCAGCTGTTGCATGAAGTGGTCCTACAATCGAATAAAAAACAAATAATAAACATTAATTTTTCTTTTTCGAAAAAACAAAAACCTTTTCCAATTGCTTTACAATGTTCATTAAATAAATTTAAAACTTTATCATGTCGATATTCAAGAAATGTTCGAATATCATCAAGTGAAAAATCTTTTTCAGCAGCATAATAAATTGATGTAAGAGCTGGTGCAAGAAATGGCCATTTAGCACGAAGATTAATTAATTCATCATACATTCGATATTTATCTCCATTTGAAAAAAAGCTTTTTTCCCATTCTGGTTGTTCATTAGTTGTTATTAAATTTGAATTTGATTCTTCATCATTATCATCATTATTTTGTCTATCATCAAACATATTCGAAGCATATTTTGTACGTAATTCAATAATTCGTTTAGCTGAAAGAAATTGTTCAGCTGAAAGTGATGTTTTTAATTCAGATGAATCATTATCAAATGTATTTAATGCATCAGTTAAACGTGATAATTTCATTTGAGCACGATCATCCATATATTGTAAAACATTTTGATTAGCTTCATTGATTCGTCTTATAATATCACGTTGCATAGCTTCAGCTTTTGCACGTGCATCAGCACGTTGTCTTTCAATAAATGAACGTACTTCTATTTGACTTTGTTGACGATTCATTTCCATCTGAATTGTGAAATGAATGAAATTAAATAATTGTTTTTGAATTAAAAATATTTATTACTTGTTTAGCAATATCACTCATTTCTTGTAAAACATATCGTTTATGTACTCGAACACACATATCACAATAAGCTTTATGACAATGTTTACATCGATGTCTTGCTTTCGACGTACATGATGGTTCAACGCATATTTGACCATCAAGTGATACACGATGAATAGGATGATCAGACATTTAATCTAAAGAAATTATAAGTTGTTTTTTGTCTTTGTGATTTATAGAAGACAATATAATTCTTACCTTAGGCTAGTATATATATATGTATGTAACAAAACGACGTAGTGATGACGATATTAGCTGAATGCAATGAATGCACTTCTCTTGTTTGTTTTTCTTTTCTATACCGCCGATCGAGGTAGAGCTATAGATATATATGTGCATTCTAGAATAGACGAGCGTAAACGTCGATCCATGACAATATCTAGACTAGTCTGTTCTGTTGATGTTCATAGAGATGACGCACTGATCGTGATGAATATCTGCAAAATCTCTTTCCGAGCTTAATATAATTTTTCATAAACTAAAAAAAGGATTCGACTAAAACATTCATTCAAACTAAATTGTATAATGAGTGAAAAAAATTGTTTAATGATTCGATATTTATGTAAGAAGAATTGTTGAGATCACTTTTAAAAAGCATCGATCAAGTTTAACTAATCACAACATTATTGAAAACTCACAATTCAATATAAAAATTTTTCAAAACTCATATCCATTTGATTCCTGTATTTTTTATTTTCAAAAAAAAAAGACAAGAAACCCATCGCTAATAATATAATTTATTAATAAAACTTTTTAAAATATAAGCATATTTGAAAAGTTTTGTTTGATTTGATTGTTGAAGAACTTACGCCGAAGAAAAACCAATTGTTGATGATGATGATGATGTTGTAGATCTCATGGTATTTGTAGCTACTCGTTCATTCATTGTTATACCAAACCAAAAAGCAAGTAAAACAGAAGCAAGAAAAGCAAACGCATGAGCTGTATCTATTAATTCAAAACTATAACCAACAAGTCGAAAACGTCGTAAATAACTTCCAGTAGAACTTAAAAGAAAGAATGATGCGATAATAAGTAAACCTAATGGTAGAGGACGTAATTTTTCTGGAAATATACGAAGAAAAAGAGTAACTAATATGATAATACTGATGACAAGACAAATAAGAGCCAAAATAGCAAAAATAGCAGTAGGTTTTGAACAAACATGATTACAATCCCAAAGACCATAACCAGTTCTTGACCAATTTGGAGTTGTTAAACCAATTAAAGTAAAAAGTACACCAATAGATGTAATAATAATAACTGCAGCTAATACAATAGATTCAATTAGTTTCATTCTATGTATATAATGAATAAGAATAGGATGTCAATACGAATAAGATGGATGTATGAATGTAAAGTTTGGTGCATATATATATATACATATGTGTGCATGTATAAGAATAAAATGTTACAAATTCGATCGGTACATAATAGAAAGAAAGAACAAGGATGACATATATTTATTCAACATCAAACACCTTGTAGCAAAACATATTCGATTTATAAAGGATTTTGTTCTCTATCTATGGAATTAATCATCTTCAATTTAAAATATAATTTTTAAAGATTAAGTCTAGTGGATGATTAGTAATACCATGTATGATATTGTTCTTAAATCTTAGAGATTTGTACTCATACTATAAATGATTACTCACAATCGTATTTGGATTGACACATAAATATAATTTAAAGAACAAAGAATATCTTTCAATCAATCATGCTAAAAAAAGAATTTTTTTTTTGTAAACTTTATTCTCACCTAATTATAAATCCAATCTAATGAAAACCAAAATGAAAAAAGAACAATTATTTCATTCTTGTCATCTTTCGTAAAGATCGTAATAATATAATGCGAGCACAATCAAATAACATTTTATTTACTTCTATCTATATAGTATGCAAATGTATAAATTCAAAAGACATCAGGTACGAGCTGTCCGAATATCTTTGTGAAACATGATCTCACAGGAGTATTAAAGTATAGAAGTAGATATTTGGACACCACAGACCATGACAGATTCTATACAATAAAACCTCTCTTATGTGGGCACAATCAGAACTGGCTAAAAGTGATCACTTGATGAAAATAAGGTGTTTTTTTTCCTTCTGTCCAAATGCAACTTTTTTAATCGAAGATAAATCAACACGTGTGGATATGACTCGATGTTACTAGTTTTTAATGCAAAGAAAAATGATGAGATGTTACACTAAACATTGTCGTTGCGGTCTAGTTTTGCTTGTTTTTTTTCTTTTTTATGGGCACGATTAGCTTATCCTCTTATCGTTTGTATCCCGTGATAGTCTACTATAACTCAATACACATCACATCGGTTTTTACTGATCGTGCACGTAGGTAATAGAACATATGTTGTTTCGAGTAGAGAGGTTGTTATTACTTATAGTACAAGAAATAAGCGCCTACAAATCAAAATAAGATGGGTAAATTTTCTTCTGAAAACACTTATAGAATACATTGATTATAGATTATATATATGAATAATTTATATCACATGCTGATAAAGAGAATGTTCAAGAAATAAAAATATCATAGATATTAGATTAATTACTTGTATATTGTGTAAAGCATTATTGACCTATCAATTGAATGGAAACATCAAGGCGATGATTTAAAAAAGTCTACTCAGTTTTATATCTATCGATTAATAGATTTTCGAGATTTTAAACAACACCTATTGATTATCGAACGAAATAATAAACCCAAATCGTTTACTAATAACATTAAAATTCTTTCAATTTTTTTCATGCAAAAGACGTTTGTATTATGATGGTTTTATAATTACATCTTAACATAGTTTCAATTATGTATTCTCTAATGTATATGTTTATTCAAATAACAATAAAAAACAAAAGAATAAACATAAACAACAAAATATCATTAAGAATTTTCCAATTCTTGAAATCTAAATTAAACAAAAAAAAAATACAAAGACAAACAACAATATCTATCAAACTATACACATAAGATACATACGAACATTTTGGACATAAATAAAAAACAGTTTGTCCTTCTACAATACGAAGACAAAAAAAACACAATCATCATTATATAAACAAGCAAAATTTCATTTAATAAAGAAAATACGTTACCATCTGCTGAACGTAATTGTCTAGTAGTAAATGACATTTCATCATGTCCGCAACGAGGACATTTTCGTTGAATCTAAATTAATATTTAAATATAAACATCATCGATTATAATTATAAACCATCATACTAGTGTGCCTTCGACAGCTTCATTATTTTCTAATGTTTTCATTTCATCGTCAACATTATGAAAGTTGACATGAACAGTTGATTGTGTTCCATGAAATACTATTAAATGAAAATCTTTTACTATCAATTATATATATTCATACAAACCTGATATATCTTGAGTTTTTTTGCACAACAAACATTGAATAATTGGAGAACCATCAGGTAAAGGTAATATTGTTCCACATGCTGGACAAAAATCTTGATCAAATGTGTTACTCATCTAATCAAATAAAATGTCTCTTTGTATAAAATTTTCATAATCTATGCTGTGATATAGCCTTAAATTTGAACCAAAGTTTTATTTTCAAGAATAAAATAACATCACACAGACGCATACACACACACACACACATACAGATATAGAGGTGCAATTTATGAGCGAAAGAATCGTTTAACAGTTTGTCTTGCTGATTTTTTTGTTCCACCTTGTTTTGAATCAATATTACCACTTAACATATTTGAAGTTTGTAACATACTTAAATTATTATTATTCTCATTACTATCTCTTCTTCCACTAATACCACCCGATGTTTGTCCTTGTAAATCAATAATTTTAATCATAGATAACATTTCTTTATCATATTTATCTTGTTCGTCTAAATTTTTTTTCTTTTGTTCATTAGCTTTCATAGATTCATATTTTAAAACATTTAATAAAGCTGAACAATTTTTACACCATTTATCAAGTACATCTTCCATACGATTAAATGCTATTGTATTAACATCACGTGCTATAGCATATTCAACATTTAAACGATTATTTAATTGATCTAATTTTCCACGTATAACTTGTGCATATATGCCATCAATAATTAAATCTTCAAGTTCACGTACACTTTCAATTTGTAGTTCTTTTAATAAAAGTGTATAAGGTAATATTCGTGCATGTACAGCAAGTGATGCTAATGTTAATAATTGTAATTTTCGTCGTGCTAATTGTGATAATAATATAAAACGTGTACGATCAGATTCATAATCTGATAATGTACCATATGCAAACAATTCTAATGTTGATAAAAGTTGTACATGATCTTGTTTAAGTGCATTTACAAGTGAATCCAAACGAAGAAATTCATCAAAACCGAATATATCCGGATGTTCAAGAACACGTGTGACTAAATCAACAGCAGCTAAACCACGTACTGATTTAGCTAATAAGAGAAATTGTTGAGCGGCCTGTGAGGACATCTGAAATTTATATAGAGGACTATGATAGAACGAACGAAAAAAAAACAAAAAGAAAAAGAAAAAAAAGGGAAAATTCATAATACAGTCTTCTATTATTATATACACATGGCCGAGTTACATACAACTACTATCCTACGAAATACTGATAATATTTATATTCAAACTGATGATGATAATTCAACAATACAACAAGTACTCGCCGATATTGAAAATCTCATGGAAATGCTAAGTAATGAACTTGATCAAAATAAATCTTCTATAACATCAAATTTAATTAATTATTCACCACAACAACAACTAAAAATTACTTCATCATTATGTTATCCAACATCATCGACAACGATAACAAGTGTTACAATAACTGATGATAATCATCAACTTATTGAACATCTTCGTTATCGTATAGCTCAATTAGAACATGAACGAAACGTTCTTCTTACATCATATCAATTACTTATTAAACTACTTAAATAAATCAAACAAAAGAGAATATTTATGTATAGACAAAAACAATATTTTATACGAATTTCTTTTTTCTTTAAATATATTTTACAAAAATACATATTTAAGCATGACGAATTTTCCAGTTTCTTGAACCACGAAGATTCTTACGATATTGATCGAATACAAGATCATCGGTTGCCGTTTCAGATAAAGGCTTTTCTGGTACTGAAGGTGGTTTAGGATCTAAACAAAAAAAAAATAAAATAAAATTGTATGCAATAAAAAAAAGCAGTTTTAATAGCATATTGTTTCTGTGATAATGAATCATTTTCTCACAGCAAACGAAATACTATTCGACAGTTTATCGAATACTTATAAGAGAAAAAACATATTAAAAAGAGGTCTCAAGTATACTGAAGATATCATGATAATTTTAGCTGAAAAGAATGTTTCTTTGTTGAGATATCAAATTTCTAAGTGAACTCGACTGTTGTAATAAGCGACTTTATCGTGGACATTCAATATTCTGACAAATGAACATTCGTTTCAGCTGAAATTTTTCAGTAAATACCGAAAAAATGAATCGAAAACTCAGTTATCCTTTTATGAGTGTTCTAGTCTTACTAAGGCTTTCTTATGGATCCAATACGAGTTTAAACGACAGATTACAGTTGAGGTACTTTCTTCGCAAGAGGAAATTTAAGAAAGAATACTTTTGATCACCAAATTTTTTTCGATTTTCCAAAAGTCAAAATATACTATTGTATGATCAAAGGAATTAATGAATGCAGTGCATATATCTATAGAGAAATTGCACATCAATTTAATAATTAATATTGTAATATTTATATATGTCAGCGTCCAAACTGAGATTACGTTCAATCTCAGATTGGCCTAGGCGAATGTCGGATCCGAGATTGGACGCGTCCAATCTCGGATTGACGCAATTCTGTTCATTAAAATATCAATTACCCTGTAGACAGACCTTGGATTCGAACTATTTTTTTTTCAGTTACGTTCACACGATGCCAGTTTGTTTGGCACAATTGTCATTTGACAAATTTGAATAAAATTTTAGGAGTTATGAATAAATTTCTAGAGAATAAGAACTTATGTGAAAAACGTTTATTACATTTTTGAGTCTAAATTTAGCTTCTTTCTAAATGCTTGTAATACTTAAAACGGCATTGTGTGAACATAATTTCAAAAAATAGTTCGAATCCAAGGTCTGTCTAAAGGGTAATTGATATTTTAATGAACAGAATTGCGTCAATCCGAGATTGGACGCGTCCAATCTCGGATCCGACATTCGCCTAGGCCAATCTGAGATTGGACGTAATCTCAGTTTGGACGCTGACATATATATATATTTTGTTTGCTTTCCGC